AACACTCAGCAAACTGGGAATACAGGGAACATTTCTTAAAATAATAAAGGCCATATATGAGAGACCTAGAGCCAATATCATACTCAATGGGAAGAAACTAAATTTCACTAAGATCAGGAACAAGACAAGGATGTCCACTCACCACTTGTATTCGATATAGTATTGGAAGTTTTAGCCACATCAATCAGGCAAGAAAAGGAAATAAAAGGCATCGAAATAGGAAAGGAGGAAACAAAACTGTCACTGTTTGAAGATGACATGATAGTGTACATGGAAAATCCTGTAGACTCTACCCAAAAACTGCTCGAACTAATTAATGAATTTGGCAAAACAGCAGGATACAAAGTCAATATCCAGAAATCAAAGGCATTTTTGTATACCAACAGTGAATCAGCAGAAGCAGGAATCAAGGAAAAAATCTATTCGATATAGCAAAAAGAAAAATAAAATATCTGGGAATAAACCTAAGGAGGTAAAAGACCTGTATGCAGAAAACTACACAGCCCTGAAGAAAGAAATCAAGGAAGACACAAACAAATGGAAACATATACCTTGTTCATGGATTGGGACAATTAACAACATCAAAATGTCCATACTACCCAAAGCAATATACAGATTCAATGGAATCCCTATTAAAGTACCAATGGCATATTTCACAGACATAGAACAAACACTTCAGAAATTTATATGGAACCATAAACAAACCCGAATAGCAGCTGCTCTTTTGAGAAAGAAGAACAAAGTAAAAGGGATCACAATACCTGATATCAAACTGTATTACAAGGCCACTGTAATCAAAACAGCCTGGTACTGGCATAAAAACAGGCACATAGACCAATGAAACAGAACAGAGAGCCCAGAAATCAACCCAACTCTCTACAGTCAATTAATATTTGACAAAGGGGCAGTAACATAAAATGGAGTAAAGATAGCCTCTTCAACAAATGGTGTTGGGAGAACTGGACAGCTATGTGCAAAAAAAATGAAACTTGAGCACCGACTTACACCATACACCAAAATAAATTCAAGATGGATAAAGACTTAAATATAAGCCATGACACCATTAAAGTCCTAGAGGAGAACATTGGCAAGAAAATCTCAGATATTTCACGCAGCAACTTCTTTACTGATATGTCCCCTAGAGTAAGGAATGTAAAGGAAAGAATAAACAAATGGGATCTCATCAAAATAAAAAGCTTCTGCATGGCTAAAGAAAACAGTATTAAATTAGCAAGACAACCAACTGTTTGGGAAAACATATTTGCCAATGATACCTCAGACAAAGGTTTAATCTCCAAAATATACAAAGAACTTACACGACTCCACTCTAAGAAGACAACCAACCCAATTAAAAAGTGGGCAAAGGACTTGAACAAACACTTCTCTGAGGAGGACATAGAGAATATCTAGAGACACATGAAGAGATGCTCAATATCGTTAGCTATCAGAGAGATGCAAATGAAAACCACAATGAGATACCACTTTACACCAGTCAGAATGGCTATCATAAACAAAGCAACCAACAACAAATGTTGGAGAGGGTGTGGGGAAAAGGGGTCCTTAGTTCACTGTTGGTGGGATTGCAGACTGGTACAACCATTATGGAAAACAGTATGAAATTTTCTCAGAAAAATAAAAATCTACCTGCCTTTTGACCCAGCAACTCTGCTGCTAGGATTATATCCCAAGAATCCTAAAACATCATTTTCAAAGAACCTATGCACCACAATGTTCATAGCAGCACAATTTACAATAGCCAAGAGTTGGAAGCAACCTAGGTGCCCATCAGTAAATGAATGGATCAAAAATGTGTGGTACATATATACAATGGAATTCTATGCTTCAGAGAGAAAGAAGGAGCTGCTACCCTTTGCAACAACATGGATGGAACTGGAAAGCATTATGCTGAGTGAAATAGACCAGGCATTGAAGGACAAATACCATATGATCTCACCTTTAACAGGAAGCTAAACAACAAAACAAACAAGCTAGCAGAATAAAAACAAAGACACTGAAATAGAGAACAAGGGGACAGTGAGCAGAGGAGAGAGGGAAGTGAATTTAAGGGGAAAAAAGGGGAGGGATTTGGAGGAACAAATAGGAAGGACACAGGTACAAGAACTAAGGGGTGTGGAAATGGGAGGGAGGTGGGGAGCACGGGGTGGGGGGGCTGGGATGGGAGAAATAGACAAAACACTGTACTTGAAAAATAACTAAATAAATTTTTTTTAATTAAAAAAAAACCAAGATGAAAAAACAGCCTACTGAGTGGAAAAAGATATTTTCCAATGATACATCTGAAGAATGGTTAATATCAAAGTTTTATTTAAAAATTCATACAACTCAACACCAAAAAATCCAATTAAGAAATGGGTAGGGTGACTGCTGGTCAACATGATGTCATAGGTAAACATAAATCACTTCTTTGTACAACCACATCAAAATTACAACTAAATTATACAACAACCATTACCCATATATGTCAGAAATGGAATTGAGTGGAAGTCTGACAACTACAGAAATAAAGAAACCACATTCATCCAGACCAATAGGAAGGGCCAGGATGTGGAATGGGCTGGTCCCACATCCACATATGGTAGATAGGAATTTGAGAGGGATATCTTGGGAATGATGTGTCCTGGCCCCCCAGCCCAGGGTTGCAGTGACAAGAACTCACTGCAAAAACCAGTAGGGATTTAATCAGTGAAAGGAAATTCTGGAGTTCCAAGCAGTTTCTGTTAAAGAACCCGCACAGAGACTCAGACTCTCACTCTCTGAGCTCCAGCACCAGGGTAGCAGCTGGAAAGGAACCAATGGCATACAGGGAGGAACTGAAGTGTCTGGCATCAAGGTGATAGCTGGGAGTTAGCTTTTGCCTTGACACAAAGGCAGGCAGAGGCCATTGTCCCTTTGAACCCTCCCCCAATCTGAGATTCCATCCCACCCAGTTTGTGGGCCCACCCAAGCTGTTAGACTTTTTCACACGAATGGCTGGTCTTGGCTCACGCTTCACAACTTCCTAAATCCTCTCAAACATGCCACAACTGGCCTCAGTGAGAGCTTAAGCCCAATACGTCTTGCTAAGTGGCCTCAAGCACAGCACTAGCATCAGCCAGCCAAGATTCAGTTTGGCTTAGCCTGGGAATCTGTGAGCCCAAAACAAGCAGCAGCCATATCAGATTGCTTTATAGCCCATGCAAGGTGGCCCCAGGCAAAGTAGTTGGGGGCTGACTTTGGCCTAGAACACCAGAGAAACCCCAGGGCCTGTGCCCTAAGTGGAGAGCTACAGACCACATTGGAGCACCACCACCCTGCCCCTATACAGCTAATCCTCCACAGAGCATAGACAGAGGTTGGTGGTCAGTGGCCACAGCCAATATTTGCAGCTGACTGGCCTGGGTAAATCCCTCACAAAGACCTGCAAACAGCAACTAAGACTCAAACTACAAGAGGAGGGTGTGCTTGGCCCACACAAAGGATACCTCTAGTGCCAAGCTTGGATGAAAAGGGATGCTGTGCTACTGGATCCTACAAGACACCTACCACATTAGGCCATACTGCCAAGACAGGGAGTCATAGCAGCTCTACCTAATACATAGAAGCAAAGAGAGGCTGCCAGAATAAAAGAGACAAAGAAACATGGCTCAAATGAAAAAACAGATAAAAACTCCGGGAAAAGAACCAAACAAAAGGGAGATAAGCAATCTATCAGATGCAGAACTTAAAACACTATTTATAAGAATACTCAAGGAACTTAGTGAGGACCTCAACATAAAAACAATCCAGTTAGAAATGAAGATTTACTAATTGAAATAAAGGACAATTTACAGAGAAACAGCAGTAAGCGGATGAAGCTGAAAATCAAAGTAATAATTTGGAAGACAAAGAAGCAAGAAATAAGCAATCAGAACAAGAAGAAATAAGAATTAAGAAAAAACAAGGATAGTGTAAGCAGCCTCTGGGACAACTTCAAGAGGTCCAACATTCACATCATAGGGATACCAGAAGAAGAGAAAGAGCAGAAAATTGGGAATTATTTTTTAAAATAATGAAAGAAAAACTCCCCTAATTTGGTGAAGGAAATAGACAAGGAAGTCCAGGAAGCAATGAGAGTCGAAACAAGATGGATGCAAAGAGGCCCACTCCTAGACACATCATAATTAAAATGCCAAACATTAAAGACAGCAAGAGAAAAGTACTTAGTTAACTTCAGGGGAGTTTCCATAAGACTGTCAGCTGATTTATCAAAATCAACTTCATAGATTAAAAGATATTGCCAAGAAATATTCAAAGTCATGAAAAGCAGGGACCTACAGCCAGGATTGCTCTATTACAATGATATCATTTAAGATCAAAGGGCAGATAAGGAGCTTCCCAGAGAAGAAAAAAACTAAAGGAGTTTATCATCACCAAATTATTATTACATAAAATGTTAAAGGGACTTATTTAAGAAAAAAATAAAAACTTTTATTTAAGAACAATAGACTGGCAATAAGTACATATCTATCAACAGTTGAATCTAAAAAACAAACTAAGTGTACAAGAAGAACATACAGAATCATGGATGTAAAGAGGGTTTTGATGGTTACCAGATGGAAAGAGAGTATGGGGGAATGGGTTAAGATGTGAGTAGGTTAAGAAGTACAAATAGGTGGTTTCAGAATAGCCATGGGGATGTAAAGTACAGTATAGTAAATGGACATGGACCATGGTGTGGGGATAGCCTGAGGGAGCAGGAAGTGCTGAGTGGAGGGGGGCAAAGGGTGGGAATTTGGGACAACTATAATAGTATAGGTAATAAAATATAATTTTTGTAGGAACCACCAAAGTTTTAGTGTTTAATATTTAATAGCACAACTGACCGAGACCCATCATGTGAAGTTATCAAGTTCAAGAAACAGGGAGCAGGGGGTCACTCTATCAACTAACTATATAGTATGCGATGAGAATGCACACTTTACAATATCAAGCCTGTCTACACATAGTAATTAGTTGCCATTTGGTCTTCTCCTGGCTTGTAAAACCAATGTTCTGGATTTCAGTGTAAATTAGCAACCTTCAACTCTTCTGTGTAGCAAGCATCTTGTTTTCCCCTTCCAGTTCTTCCACCCTGGCCTGGGTCATGAGGTCTGCAATGTTTTTTACCAGGTCATCAATGTGACTACTCATATCATCAATTCTTCCAATGATCTGGTCGGACATGGTCTGAAATTTATGTTGCATTTGTTGCAGGAGTGTCTGCACCACTGAGGTGAGATTCTGCACAGTCTTGGGGTCAGTCTCGGTCATCTCCCCAGTTCCTAGTTTGGTGGTGATATCTCAGGCCATCACCAACACTTCCAATAAAATATAATTCTTAAAATGCAAATTAAAAATAAATAAATGGGCAGAGAATCTGAATATATACTTCTCCAAAGATGTAAAAATGGCCAGCAGACATATGAAAAAATGCCAGCATCACTAATCATCAGACAAGTGCAAGTTAAAACCACAATGAAATAACACCTCATACTTGTCAGAATAGCTATCATGAATAAATCCACCAGTAACTAGTGTTGGTGAGAATGTGGAAGAAGTGGTACTTTCCTGCACTTTTAGTGGGAATGCAGAATGGTGCAGCCACTATGAAAAGCAGTATGGAAATACCTCAAAAAAGTTAAAGCTGTGTTATAACACCTCAATTACACATATTCAAAAAACCAAAGACACTAATTCAAAAGAATATATGCACCCCTAAGTTCACTACTGAATTATTTACAATAGCCAAGATATGCAAGCCACCCAAGTGCCCATCAATAGATGAGTAAATTTAAAAACAAAAAAGTTGTGCTACATTTATATAATATTACATTGCTGTAAAAATAACCGTATTATTTGAGACTTCTGACCAAGGTGGAGGTGTAGGTAGCTAGCTTTGCACAACCAAAAGAAGGGCAAAAACCAATTTAAAAACAAAAACCAACCAGATCTATTGAAAATAGAATTGTATGAAAGTCCAACGACCAAGGACTCAAAGAAGAAATATTCATCCAGAGTGGTGCACCAAGACAAAGAAATATGGCCCAAATGAAAGAACACATCAAAACTCCATAAAAAGAACTAAGCAATGAGGAATTAGCCAAAGTATTAGATGCAAAGTTCAAAACACTGGTAATCTGTAAGAAATGATTGAGTGTGGCTGCAAAAAAAAAAAAAAAAAAAAGAAGAAGTGAAGGCTATACAAAGGGAAATAAAAATATACAGGAAACCAAAAATGAAGGGAAGGAAACTGGGACTCAAATCAATGATTTGGAACAGAAGAAAGAGATGAACATTCACCCAGAACAGGATGAAAAACAATAATTCAAAAGAAGTAAGGAGATCTCACATCATCCCAAGGAAGCCGGAGTGGAGGCTAGAGGCATTATGGGTTTTAATGAACTTTGGCTGCTCCATCAAGTAGGCTGATTACTAAGAAAACATCAAAAGATTCACCCAAGTGACTCATCACTGAAATCCAAACAGAGTTGATAAGCCAATTAGATGTGCAGCCTGGTTTCCAATGTAGCCACCAAGAGTGAGATGGAAAGGTGATTGTTGGATTCCTGCTTCTGCTGAAACTTGTGCAGGACTTTGATAACAACAGGGAAATTATTTGCAGCGCAAAGCAATAGAAGAAGAAAAGCTAAATGGAAGAGACAAGAAGAAACAGGAGGATCTACAGCTGAAGCAAGGGGTACCACTGAACTTTTTACTAATGAGAGCCAGTCACTGCCACTGGAATTAGACCTTTGCTGCTATATCTGAGGTCATTGCTAAAGCTAAGGACACACCAATTTTCACCTGATCTTTATTTTTATGAGTACAAATCATTCATAGTATAGGAAGCACCTATGGTAATGAGAATAAATGATTTTAAAAACTGACACACAAATCTATTTTTTATTTAAAATGAAAATGATGAACTTATGTTTTGTATAAAGGATATTCATAGAATTACTGCTTTTTGTGTGTGTAGAAATAGTTATTAAGGGGAGGCAAGATGGCTGAGGAGTAAATGGAAGCCATACTAACCTCCTCCCAGGACCAATCTGGAATTACAACTAAATTCTGGAGAAGTCACCCAGAACAAACAACTGAACAATAGCAAGAGAGAAGCCTTATAACCTCAAACAAATAGAATAATCATTTTCAGCACTAACTGACTGGTAAGGAGTATGGTGGAGACTCAAGAGGGCTGGCTGGGCCCCCACAGGCAGCAGTGCCAGAGGGATAACTGAAAAACTGGTTGGATACCCACCGCCCCAAGAAGTATGCAGCCTAAACTCTGAGCTGGGATACCTAGCCTAGAGCACCAGAAACCAAAAAGTATGCAGATAACAACTGGTGGTGAAAATCAGTATGGTTGCTCTATGCCAGAAACAGAAAGCTAGAGGTCAAGAGCCATTGTGGGGAAACACAAATTTTCATTTAAGCCATTTAACCCAGGCTCCAGCAAAGGTGGGGTCAGGGTGGGCTGGAGATGCCTGAGGAGAGAGCTGAGAGAATAGCCTCAGGAATGCTGGTGCTGAGTCATCCCCCACATGGCAGCAGCCATCCTGCTCAAGAAGGCCACTCCCCTCTGTGTGGCAGCAGCCTGAACCAAACAACAGCTCCACCCACAGGAGAGACTCCACCCTGGCTCTGTGGAGTTTAAGCTTGACTGCTGAGTAAAGTGACAAGATTAACAACTGAAGGAGACAGCCACAGACCATAGTAGATCCTTGACAAAGGTGGAGGGTAGAGTGGACTAGAGACACCTGAGGAGAGACTTGGAATGGTGGCTTTAGAGAGAGAACTGAGAAAGTAACTGCTGAGATTGGTGCTAAGCCAACCCCCATACACAGTAACCATTGTGCTCAGAGTACTTCCCTCCAAACCACAGCGGTCTGAGAGGAAACAATAGCCCCCACCCCATGAGGGACTTGGCCCCTCTCTATGGTGCTTAAACCTGACTTCAGAGTGCAGAGTGACCAGATTAACAATATACTATACTGTATTTCATTCATTTCTTGTCCACTGAGTTTGTATATGTCACTTGATTTTATACTATACTGTATTTCAATTCACATATTTTGCCTCTCCCTTCTCTTAGCCCATTTTACCTCCTCTTTCCTTGCAATATTTTCATTTCAAATTTGGTTTTCTCTCTAGCTCCACTTGTCTCCATTCCACACTCTTACTATTTCTCCCCATCCAGATATGCAAAATGAATTTTCTTGTCAAGGGTCATTTTACATTCTTTTGCCCAGCTCTTAAAATACTTGCATTCTCTCTACACCTTTAACAAACTTTGCTAGTTGGTTCTGGATAGGGTAGTTGATGTTGCATTGTTTTTTCAAGGTTATCTCCAGAGCTTCACTAATTCTGTATTTCAAATAACAAATTTTACTGGACCCCTCTCCTCTTTTTGTTTCAACTCAAATTTTAATTCTGCCATCTTAGCCTCGTTTTTTTTTCTTTTTCTTTTTGGTCTATCTTCTATTTCTCTTTCATCCTGCCCTTTTGTTTTTCTTTATTCTCCTTTTCTATTTCTTTTCCTTTACATCACAAATTTTAATTTTTCCCACCCTTAGTCTGGTTTTTGTTCCTCACTTAGTATTCCCTCTCCCTCTATCATTACAAAAATCACTTCCCATTTCTTTAAACATCTCTTAGACTTTTTTTCATTTCTTTTTTCTTTTTAAAATTTATTGTTGTTCAAGTACAGTTGTCTCCATTTCACCCCCACTCCTCACCCAGCCATCCCCACCTCCTTCTCCTGATTCCATCCCCCTTTGGTTTTCTCCATGTGACCTTTATAGTTGTTCCTGAAAACCCTCCCCACTTTCTGCCCATTACCACATACCACCTCGCCTCTGGTTACTGTAAGATTGTTCTTAATTTCAATGTCTCTGGTTATATTTTTCTTAATTGTTTGTTTTTTTGATTAGGTTTCATTTAAAGGTGAGATATTATGGTATTTGCCTTTCACTGCCTGGCTTATTTCACTTAGCATAATGCTCTCCAGTTCCATTCCTGCTGTCACAAAGAGTAGGGGCTCCTTCTTTCTTTCTGCTTTGCAGTAGTCCATTGTGTAAATGTACCATAATTTTTAGATTCATTCATTTACTGATAGTGATGTAGGTTGCTTCCAGCACTTGGCTTTTATAAATTGTGGTGCTATGAACACTGAGGTGCATAGGTTCTTTTGGATTGGTACCCTGGGGTTCTTAGGAAATAATCTCAGCAGCGGAATTGCTGGGTCAAAAGGCAGTTCCATTTTTAGTTTTCTGAGGACATTCCATACTGTTTTCCATAGCAGCTGCACCAGTCTGCATTCCCACCAACAGCACAGTAGGGTTCCCTTTTCTCCAGATCCTCTCCAACCCTTGTTTGTTGCTTTGTTTATGTCAGCCATTTTCAGTGGTGTGAAGTGGTATCTCATTGTGGTTTTAATTTGCATCTCTTTGATGGCTAGTAATGCTGAGCATCCTTTCATATGTCCCTGGACCTTCTGTATGTCCTCCTTGGAGAAGTGCCTATTCAGGTCTTTTTCCCATTTTTTAAAATTGGGTTGTTTTCTTCTTGGAATGGAGTCGTGTGAGTTCTCAATATATTGTGGAGAATAAAACCTTGTCTGAGGTATCATTGGCAAATATGTTTTCCCATACTGCTGGTTCTCTTTTTATTTTAATGCTGTTTTCTTTAGCCATGCAGAAGCCTTTTAATTTAATGAGATCTCATATATTTATTCTTTCCTATGTCCCTTGTTTTAAGGGACATATTGGTGAAAATTTTGCTATGTGGAATAGCTGAGATTTTTCTGCCTGTTTTACTCTAGGACTTTTATGGTGTCATGATTTGCATTTAAGTCTTTTGTCCACCTTGTATTTATTTTTGTATGTGGTGTAAGTTGGTGCTTGAGTTTCATTTTAGTTTAATTTTAAAGCTTTTAATTTTGATGAGATCCCATTTGTTTATTCTTTCCTTTCTGTCTCTTGCTCTAGGGGAAATATCAGTAAAAATGTTGCTGCATGAAATATATGAGATTTTCCTGCCAATGTTCTCCTCCAGGACTTTAATGGTGTCACAGCTTATATTTAAATCTTTCCTCCACCTTCAATTTATTTTTTCTGTACGATGTAAGTTGGTGCTAAAAATTTTTTTTTGCATGTAGCTGTCCAGTTCTCCCAATACCATTTGTTGAAGAGGCTATTTTTGCTCCATTTTATGTTGCTGCCCCCTTTGTCGAATATTAATTGACTGCAGAGAGTTGGGTTGATTTCAGG